AATTTAATCAATTTTTTTATTCATAACAAACTTACCATAATATTCTTATTAACACCTTTATTAAATTAACTCTACATCAAATTAACATGTACAGCATATTTTTAAAATGTTATAAACTGTAGACATTTTACATGATTTAAAAAAAAAATCTAAATTTATATATGGTTTAATCATATGAATTTATTAATATACAATTATACACAATATACACTAGGATAAAATGTTGATACAGTTGCATGATAAATAAATTTAAAAATGGAACTTAATTTAAACATTCATAATATGACCTAAAAAAAGTTCAAGTTCCTTGAAAGTATGAATTCCGTTCACATTCACTTTCTATTTGATATAACTAAGTAGCTAAGTGAGTGATGTTCAAGAATTATCTGGTCATTCATAAAATATGAAGATGAATGTGTACTTATGGACGCGTTCTTTCCAAACACTGTAAATTAGTACAAAACATATTTTATATTATCTAAAATCGTTTGTTATTTTGAAATTTTATTCGATTGTGCACACTTTATATTATACACAATATGCATATTATAATAATTATAAAGTAACGACGATCTATCGTATAAAACATAATGCAAACATGATACATCTATAAATTAACATAAGCCGCTTATCGTGTTTACATTAATGTATTCTCAGATGGTTCTATGAGATAGGTGTAATGTTTAATTTAAACAATTAGTCTGGACAATGGTTTTGTACAAATTCAAGTGCTACCACCGCGGCAGTTGATGATAAATGATTATACGAATATTATACAATTGACACGCGGTAAAGAGTTCCGATCAATTCTTTTGGAGAACCGGTTGGACAAACACATAATTTAATATACACCTCTAACCCGTGTAATGAGATTTTTAAAATTCAAATATCCATTGGCCCGATTACCGAATTGGATGTTTCAGGAATCCGATAGTCTTATTTATCGTCTACGGGAGTATACATTGTAATAAATAATTTATATGACGTAGATATTATAATAAGTCGTTAGATCGATAGTGTTATACACTAAACGCTTTGGACGATTGGTATAGGGTTGATTCATAAGTATTGGGAAGGGGGGGGGCTACTAATGGAATATAAATACAATTTGAGATATTTGTTAATTTCGTAATATTACTGTCATCATTTTTTCCTTGATATTAGCGTGAAAAATAAGAACCACTGGCTTTGTTCACGTGTTTCTGATTTTTATTTACATTTTTATCACAGTACAATTTTCATTTAAATCTTATATAGTTGCATAATATATAAAATACATTAGTCACTCGATGATTTGAAATTCAGGGGACCAAGTTAAAAATTCGATGTATAGAGGCTTTCGATTTACCGAGTGTTCGAATTATCAAGGGAAAAAAAATTAATTCGAATTAAAGAGAGGTAAAAAATTATTTGTATTTATTATATTTTTATATTTTATATGTTAAAGAAATCGGTTATTTTTTTTTTTCTGTGATAAATTGCTGGTTACAATTTAGTTCATAGCGTTGTCTAATTTATTGATAGCATTGAAAATTGTATCGCATCTTTTTTCGTTTATTTCAGATTACTCAAAAAATTGATATAATCCTAACAAAAATTTAGATTAGGTAGGTAGGTAAAGTACGATAACGTTTGTTTATCAACGATAATATTAAACCACCGAAGTTATTAGTTTCATTACGAGTACGTAAAATAGATTGTACGTAATCTTCATATGTATGTAAATTGTATTTACATAATATAATCGCGTTTAAGGAAATTCGAATTATAGAGGCTTATGGAATAAAAATTCGAATTGTAAAGTGTGTCCCACCGAAAGACATTTCAAATATCAAAGGGACTAGAATACGTGTATTTTCTTCTAATTATAGAGGTTTTTCAGGGGACTTAGCGTTTAGTTCGATTTATGGAGTTTTGCGAATTATCGAGGTTCGAGTTAACGAATGACGACTGTATAATAACATGTTTAAACAATGGCGTGTTATTAAATTTCTTTTGGAAGAGGAAGGGTCTAAAAATTTTTTCTCTATCTCTATGTAGCAAATCATTTATGCATTTTGAACCTTTGTTTTCTTCTGGGGAGGGTGGTGACCTCCTCCCCTAAAAATACGGCACTGCGTATAAGTAATTTTTATGTACTAATAAAAGGAAAATTAGTAACATTTTTTCACAAAAAGATATGAGAAGTTAAATACATACTTTAATACATTTACCTCAGTGGTGTAATATTAAATTTTCTAGAAAGACTAAATAAATTAAACTATAGTATTAAACACAACTACTATAAGGTAATGTGATAAAATATTATCAGTGGATCTTGAGAAATTACGTATAAATTTACCAGTCGTTATTGTGTTTCTATAATTATTTGTATTATGTCAGTTGATATATTATTATTAGCGTTGTAATGAAAAAATAATATTTTAGAAATAAAACTATAAATAGAATAAAAATATGATTGCGTTATACAAGTCTGCAGTTCGCATATTAATCTTTATAAATGTGTACTTATATAATGTTATACATGAATGTGTACGTCCATTTCTTTCCGTTTGACAGAAGAAGAATAAACAATAAACTGAATAAACGCTAACATTAAAAAAAATACTTATCACATAATATTATATATTTCTTCACACAACATGCATAAACATGCACACCACTTATATACACACCAACGCTTCTATACACTACAACTAAAAACTATAAATATTAATATTATTACTGTGACAATAATTTCTCAGTACCTACTTATACCTACGTAATATTATTTATATTCTCAGGGGTCAATACTATAAAATTAGTCTATAATTTTTTACAACTGGAGCCATTGAGTTATTTTTATTACCCGATAGGAAAAAAATATATAACCCCCAAAATTGTGCTACTATTTTGGTAACCATCAATATAATATTATGTTGTCAATAATTATCTTAATAATGTATTTATTGACGAGTTACTAATATTTTAATGTATAACGTACATACAGTTGAATGACGAAGAAAATCAGAAGGAAATTTTAAATAAATATTTCGACAATGTTGTTTCATATTAAATGTAAAATAAACTTTCAATGTTCCAAAAAAGGGATAATATAGTGAGTATTTATTTATATATACATTATACTTATTTTATAGCTTAAAAGTGAAAAAATATTTTGTTTTCATATATATTTTAGGGTTATCCTTGTAACGCCTTAGAAATTTTGTACCAGTATTTAAATATAATCTTCGATCGCTTTAGAAAAATATACTAAATGTTACAATATTTGTACAGACTTATAGTTTACTGAAGTGTAAGATTTATGAGTTTGTATTCATGAGTTATTAAGTCGAAACGGTTGTCGTTGCGTTTAAAATTAATTAACACGTACAAACGTATATTATGGCAGTATACTTAAATAAACATTAACATTCTTCTTCGTTAAACTTCCACCGACCAATTAAAATATTATTTCATGCACATATATAGAATATATAGATACTTTGCGTCTAAAAAATATTATGTGCATTATTTTACAGTAAAAAATGTGTATATGATAGGTTACATTAATAAACATTTTTTATAGAAAAAACTCGTATGGTATAAATTATATATATATTTTTTTTAAACCAGTTTAAAATTAATTGACTAGAACGATAGAATATTTACTAAATAGTGTATCAGGGTAGAATTTAAACGAAATACTAGAATTTAATATTGCGTTTTAAGATACGACTGTTATGATGATAAAATTAATAGTTTTTTTTTATTAATTTAAAAAAAGTGTAAGTCATCAATGACGTTTCCATAACAGTCACGAATACCGATAATCAAATAGATATAGGTACAGATCAGATGCTAATAAAGCCTATATTATTATTTATAAATTTTCAAAAAAAAAAAAATTATATTAATAAATACATTATTTATTTAATATTCTTCATCGAGCTTAATGTTTGAAATTATAAATTTATTCACAATATTTACAATTTAATAGATTATAATAACGATTGTTTCTGAATTCTGATTACTTACATAAGTATTTTTTTCTATAGAGATATTTTCATTGTGTTAATTGATTTTGAAATGATAACATTTATGTATTAGAACAATACAATAATTATTACGATTTACTCATGCAATAAAAAAATGTATATTTTATCATTTTAAGATGTGCGAATATTATGTTTTAATTTTATGTCGAATATAATATAGGTAATAATATAATAAACAGGGACTAATGTATTACCCTTTAATAACAGATTAGATTTTGTATAATTCTTTAAATTTCATTCTTTTCTTTCCTGCGATAAAAATCCTAAAACGCCCCTGATGAATAAGCATATTATTCTTTAAACAATATTGTACCGACATCTTTTGTGTTTCAAGAACACTAAAAATATATGATTTTGGTTCACATGAGCGAATCATTACCCTTATTTCGTGCATCAGCTTGGTACGACTTCGTTGTATTTTGTTCAGTTACCTTCTCAACATTTATCAGACTAGGGAATTAATAATATATTATTATTACCTCACGCGGATATGTGTTTAATTCAAAAGGAATATTATTATATGTGTTATGGGTAAACGATTGAAGGTAGAACAGCTGATGTGAGTATAATAAAACATTATACATATACACTACACAAATAATTATTAAACAATAAACGGTCGATTTTTAAAACACAAATAAAATTTATTTTCATATCACTTACAATTTTTATTTGTATAATATATACGTATATATAATATGTATAAATATTTTTTTTTACAATATAGGCCTTTGATACACTAATATAATACAATTTACTACATTAAACTAAAAATGCATGTTGGCCTAACATATACTCTTACAGAGTTAAATTCTTTAGTTATACAAGATTGTACAAATATAGTGTACCTGTAAATGAATGGAAGTTTTTTCTTTTTCTTTCTTTTTTTTTTGATTGAATGGATACAATTTAATATTACAAATACATTATGTGTAATAAGTTATTACTAATAACATAGTATATAATATTCATGTTTTAGTATTGGTATTTAAAAATTCATAATGTTTAAATATTTAATTTAAAGGCACAGTAACAGAGGGGTTAAGATGTACACGATACTTGAATGAAATTAAAAAAAAAAATTAATGACATCTATAGTATCGGTAACATTATCAATACACATGAATCTTTGATTTAAAAAAAAAAAAAAAATGATAATAACCCGTCGATAATAATTAAGCTAAAAAAAATAAAAATAATTTAAACACTAATAATATTAGAATCACAGGTGGCCCCCACTTCATATCGTAATGGAAAACGATAGAGAGATGTTAAAACAAATAACAATACATTACATATTATTATTAATAATATATTAAAACGATAATATACATTCACATGCGCTGCATAATGATTGAATAGCATTCTCAAATTATCACGATAAATGGTAGTCACATAAATACAAAAACGAAATGCTCATATTTCTCCGCGAATATAATATAATATTATAATAACCACTGCAACTATTACGACATTATATTTTATACATTATATTTATAGATTATGTCGTGTTTTCAAGGCGAGAATGTGCTCGCCATTGCTGATCACCGCCTTCTGTCATCGTCATCGTCACAATCATCATTATCGTCATCAGTATCGATGACGACGGTAACGGTGTGCTACCTCCATTCTGATGTGGCGGCGTTGGCAGGAGCGGTGTTGTAATACGAAGCGGGGGATTTGTTTCAATAAGCCGCGGTGCCATGATGGTGATGAGCCATCAGTGACGTGTGATGGTGTGGGTGATGGTGATGGTGATGGTGATTTAGGTCTGTCAGATAATGGTGACCGTGGTCGACGGACGACGATTGAATGGACGGCGCTCCGGGTCCGGTGTTCATGTACCTGAGGGTTAAAAGATCACTGTTAGACAAATATGCACATTATTACGATATATATGCACTTTGGGCAGTATGATACAACTGTTGTAGCTGGCCACGATGCACGCGGTCATCAGTTCGAACCCCGGTACTGTGCAAAATATTACTTCGTATTCCTCTTTCCCGTCGCGACTTAACGCGTCGTTCCGATTTCTCTACCCTGCCCACACCAGACCTAATATATTGGAAGTGACGTCCGCACACACGTGAAATTGTATTTTTAGACAAGGGTGTAGTAGTGCGATAGATATACTCAACCCTTCTCGAGTGATAAGACGTTGACAAAGAATGGATTTAAATAAAAGAAATTATGCACTTAAAAAAAAGAGTAGGCTATGTCGATACACAATCACAAGCTTTATTTAATTTTCGTAAAATAGCCTTTTTCATTTTATTTTGAACGTAAATATAAATCATATAAAATCGCTTTAGCAGATAGAAATGTCGAATGTATCAATTTCGATGTCCAACTCGATTTCATCACACGCGATTTATGATAACCTATCTATATATAGTTTTAATATCTACCACGTTTTATGTCATTTAGTTTTCAAATCAGCGTTTCAATTTCGAAGACATATTATTAATATTAAAATATATTTCAATTATATTAATACGTGAAAATGAATAAATAATAATTGTTATTATGATATAGACAAGTGATATATAACGTACTACATTATATCGCATAATATACCTTATTTTTCACGCCATGAATTATTTTCAGACTATTGACTTTTGTGCAATGGCATATATTTTTATGGTTGATTAATATGTATATTGTAATTATATCTCGTACAGTGTACACACGTATGTTTTATAACACAACGTACAAAAACATTATTTTTAATTTCATGTTGTCATTTTTTTATGAATTGGGATACACGAGCGATGTATGGATTTATTAAGCTACAACAAAATATAATAAATTCCACTAGTTTATAAATGATAACACTTGAAACATATTTTAGGCTTTCCATTGATTATTTTTTGATTCACTAAATATTGAGTTGGATTGTTATTTTGAAATTTCATTTTTTTAATTACGATTCCTTTGAATAAAATATTAATTATGTACATGCGTTGATGAGTAGTACAAATAATTTTAAAAATTATTTGTATATTATTAATGAAAAAACACTATTCCACAGAACAATAATTGTAATGCCATACAAAACGTTCAAGACGTACTTACCAATCGGACGTAGGCGGTGTGGGCAGCGGCAGTGCCGTCGGGTGTAGGACAGACGGGGTCTGTGCTCCGTGATGATGGTCCACGGGTGACACGATGCTGGGCGTTACAGAAATGCAACTTTCAGTCACCCTGATCGAACCGCCGGACGAACAGTTTGAGTCTTCTGAGTCGTAATTGCCGTCGCTGTCCATTTTTCCATTACCGTGCACCTGTAATCCGTACGAAGATAATTAAAATCTAAGTAAATAAATAATACTAAATCAAGCTCTCAGACAACGTCATAATAAGTATGTTATTTATTGTCCTTGTAAACTATAAAAGAGAAATAATATAATATGATGTACGTAAATCGAATGCATACCTTCATGTGCTTCCTGAGGGAACTGGGATGAGTGTACGACTTGTCGCAGCCAGATATCCTACAGTTGTACGGCTTGTCCGAAGTGTGTACGTGCGAGTGTTTTTTCCTGTCTGAACTATTGGCGAACCTTCGATCGCATCCTTCGTACTCGCATTTGAACGGCTTCTCGCCTGTACAAACATCAAAAATGTTGTTATTATTATTATTATTATTGTTATTATTATCATCATCATTATTATTACAACGATTGATATTTATGTATCACGTGGCCCATAAACAAAATCACATAATAATATAAACGATTCCAGTATTACTGCAGGAGGTTAGGAAACTGTCAAATGCATACAATAAGTCTTTACAATAATTTACAGCAAAAATTCGGTAATGTTCATTTTATCGTTTTCGTATAGATAGTTGTATATTGTGTAATGGAATTTTTCGGAACAAAGACACCCAGTAAATTACTTATTCAATACCTATATATTGATATATTGAATATACAGAGAGAAAAAAAGGTCTTTTAAAAACCTTGAAAATTTTAGGTTTAAGACCCTTTTTTTTGTTAAACGTGGTGTGGTCAATATCGTTACTTCTGGACTTAAGGTTCACTTGTGTTACTCGGATAGCCCATAAATCCTGTTCTAAGTGGAATGGGAGTATACAAAAGGCCTTTATACGTAACCCGTGTCGAATCGTCGATTTCTCCAAAAAAAAAAAAAAAAAAAAAAAAAAAAGGAAAGAAAGATTGTTCTGTTTTTATTGTGAGACCAAATTTTGTGTAACATTGACGAATATATCCTTGGTCATGATAACGTATTATCTTTTAGCGTGTAAATTGAGTTTGCATCCATTGCATTAGTATGGTAGTTATTTAGAGATAGATTTCCTATTCAATATATATTTGACAGTGGGTTCTTGGTGAACATTTTTCTTGTTCAAAATGTATACGAAAAGTAATAACAAGTTCTGTATTATGCATTTTAAATATATTGACTACAGGAGGTGAACCATAATGTTTTTCATCCCGTCTATTATCTTCACAATATCTATTTTGACGAATGTAATTTATTCCGATATTTTTATTAACATGCAATTACATGATTCAGACATGATTGGAGTTTATGCGGTTGGTCACACGGTTTGATGCCTATGACCTCTTTTACTATAACTCGTAGACTGATATTGTTATTCATTGCAAATATATTTAATTTTCCCTCTTGTCGTTCTATCAACTCGTACTAAGGTCAGACAGTTGAAAAGGAGTTGAAAGCTTGTTATCGACAATTTGATTATGGCAATTGACAAGGTAACATTCTAGACGGATTCACACCTCTACATAGGAACCGGACTACCGGTTGTGATGACGTGTTTATTGTTTTATTCTCATAAAATAATATAATATGAAAGGCTCCATTATACATGTCTTTGCGGTGGAGTCAATAAATTACGTATACTGTGGAAAAATACTTTTAGGGGTAGGAATCGGGTGATAATAAAGTACTAGGTACGCGACGGTTGTTTAACAGTCTATAAAAAGTATATGAAAAAATAAAAATAAATTCGTAATATTTTCGGTTACGAAGAAATAATAATATAATATCACAAACAATAAAACAAAAATAATATGACCAGATTATATTATTAAATGGGAGACGACGTATTGCGTTTCTACATAACTTAACCGCCAACGCACGTCAGCTAAAAAAATATATTACCATCGAACCGTCAATATCAATATACGACGTGGTCAGCGAATATTCCCCCGGCGCCTAAGTCGCGGGTCAGTTTCTTTTCGGTAATAAACGATTAGCGACACGTAACGGCGATGTTTTCGTTTTTAACGACTCTGGAACGCCTGCATAAAGGTATACCTTATACAAACGAGCTGAAGATGAGTGTTTTAACGATTTACATATGTTATGGCATACAATGGACAGGAATGCAATAAAAATACACATACATGTATGTGTGTACACGCATATGCTTATATCGTCAAAAGATAAGTGTAATAAAAAAAATCTTCGTTTTCTTCGTCCCTCTGCTCCTACATATGCTATTCTTCTTTCATAAATTGGGTGGCATTTCCAAGGACTCTTAATTTTTAATGAGTTATTTAAAAAAAGTACAACTAAACGGGTTTATGACTTATGGGTTTGAGATGCGTATAATGAAAACAACGTGGAAGTATTATATTTCGTCGTAGATGATATATACGCGTCTCTGGAATATTGTGCCCACTCACTGCTGGTACAGCTGCAGATAATATGTTGTCTACTCTACCAAAGATTTCAATCACAAATGGTTTAAAATATTTTTATTTTATAAATCGGAAAACAGCCTAGCGTAGGAATAGGGAAATACTTATTAAAGACAAAAACAAAAACAATAAAAATTGCAACACAAAAGGCTAACACACTAATATATTATTATGTAATTGATGTATATTACCATAATAATAATAATTATTATCAATTTGAACAAATATTCTACTCCTCCCACTAGTGATGATTCTCAGATAAGGTTTTTTTTTCCTCCGGTAAGTTTATGAAATAGTCGTGTGTAACACGTTGTGTAAAGGTATAACGAATACATGTTAAATCTAGAAGTATTGCGTAATGTCAACCGATGTCAATTGTTCGTCACAAGTATATTTCATTTAATATTAATGTACCTAAAGTAGTAGTATACGTATGCTATACAAATATATGTATACAAATCGAAACCAATATAGTATCGTAGATCTAAAACGATTATTTATTTATTTTATTATTATATATTTTTATTTTGTTCAATTCCCTATTGTCATCTTTTACATGCATCGTTTATGTCGTATCTAATATGCATCGGACGCGATTTATTCCACTTAGAACGCATTAACTTGTATGTCCGGTGACGGCTCAAGAACTTACTTGTCCGATGCATTAGAAAATTTGAGGGTAACATTGAAAGGGAACAATAGAGTTTAGATGTAGATATCTTAGGTTTATGTTCTGAAATATGACTCTAGCGTGTATATCAACAGTCATCGATATTACAATCAGTCCTATTGTTTTATCACGTTGGAATTAGCGATGAGTGCGCGCGATGAAAATAGACTCGCTGCAGTTATAATATTATTATTATTGAAGTTCCAGTTTCCACCATCGTGACCACCAAATATAAACACGTCTTTAAATTATATTGAAAACGAATAAAATATCATCGATAAAGTTAATCCATATCTGTCAGATCTATATATTTATTTATCGTGGGTGCACAGAATGTATGGGCATGCGTGTGTGAGTCCACCACGAGCAGCTGGACAATAGGGTATACATCTGCCGGACGGAAGCGTCGATGACCAATGACTCCGGAGAAGAGGACCATTACAAAAGATCGCTACTTAATAAAATCTCTATTGAATATCTATACGGTATATTTAGGTCTCGAAAGGACTTTAAGGTGCTGAACGAATCGATAGAAAAGAAATACCCACCCGGTGTTAAATTATAACGGGGGCCAGCACCTTCGCGACGGGACGTCCATTGTGACCCAACGCGCGTGTATGTCTGATCATAAATATTGCACACAGGACACATTTTTTTCGCTTTCTTTTCTTCTTCAATTTTCGGTTTTCTAAAATAAACTTTTTCCAAAATGCTAGCACGCACGTATACACAAATTGCGTCCTTTTTCCTTTTAGAAAACATGGGCATTTAGACCACACGCAACAGACAAGAAATGTACATAGATAAAGAAGATAATACTACTCGTACATTACAACACGTCGGCCATTAAGCACAATATGATGTAACTCCTACCGTTACAGTTGCTACTATACCTACGTCATCATAAATTATTATTAGTATATACTATACCCACCTCTTTACACAATACTGATAATAACTATAGTCTGTTATGTCAATGTATCTAAAAACGATGAATTCGAATGAAAACTGCCCCGTATAAGAGGGTATAATGTGTAAATCTATCTCACGCTGGAATTCGGTTCTCAATACAACGAATACTACTTCTACTCACATATTATACAATATACATATTATAATTACTTAAATATGTAATGTGACCGCGTTGTTAGCCAATCGGAACGCGTATACGCAACACTTCTATTGTTTTGGGTGCGTACCAATAAACGCAAATCATTTCGTTGGTACAAGTATCGTCTACCGTACACGGGGTGTCAATAATAATAATAATAATAATAATAAAAACAACAATAAAAAATAAAAAAACAATAACAATAATTACTGATTGATGACTCGATTCTGTTTAAACAATGTTATGCCTTAAATATTATTATTACGCCGAGTTTTCTCTATTGTTTTGGTCTCGATGTGTAGCCGCGGGCGACCCCGAGCGCTCGACTTCGGCACACTATACAACAGTGCGCGTGATAATGAACAACGAAATTAAATCATTTTCCAGCGTCTCGGCGGCACGTGTAGCACGCATTGTATTGTAATATCGTATCATAAAATTATAATAATAATATCTTATGATTATTGTTATAATTCATTATATAATAGTGCGAGTAGTACCTATGACATCTAAAGCACGCAACAACCACATTAGGTATCATCGTATCGCGTATACGCGCGAACATGGTCATAATATTATAGTTGTCTAATCAAGCGATGATAAAATAACCATAAAGTATGTATTTAATAATGTATACCTACGAGGTTACAACGCGACGATTCGCGGTATGGAGTTTACGCGCGTGTAATGTGAATAAAGAAACAAATGAAATAAATATAAACACCGGATCTCTTTTTTTTCCTCCCGTCAACCACTATATAATACGTCCACGTGTATTACAGTAATATTGTATATACAGTAAGTCGATAGAGGACTATATACGTACATAACATAATATTATGCGTATACATACATAATAATTTATAGCCATCTCGATTCCGGTGGTCCGACAACAAACGACACTACAAATCAAATTACAAGTCCACTTGCAGTTTTAATTATACATGGACAATTAAAAGATTGTACAACCACCGTAATGAATTTACAATATGAAATGGCTTATTATATATGAATTAAACAACGTCTGGCTGTTTTTTACTCGTATGAATATAATGAGTGGGTAACTCCTGAGAACTGTCTTCGGTTTATTATTATTGTTTTTTTTTTCATATGCATCTTTTATTTTTCAATC